CGCCGGCCCAGCAGAGCCTTCTTTAAACCAAAAGAGCCCTATCGATGCACTGAGAAAAAATTGAAGCCCCAAAAATATTTAGGAATTCAACAATGCAAAAATATTTATTTTCTAAGAACTTGTGATTTTGTTGATGTTCTGATGATGAATTGGCGGAACCAAGCTTTGATTGAAAACTTAAAGTTTTCTTAATGCTTATATATTTCTTGAAAAAATTAAATTTATTGAGTCTATGATATGAAAAATAGATTAAGTCACGCCATGGAGCTAGGATAAACATTCATTAAATTCAAATATTTCTTAATTTAAGACCATACTCTTTGAGAAAAAATTGATTGGAATTTTTAAAATAACATATATTTAAAAAATAATATATAATTAAAATAATAATATATTTTATATATATATGTTTTCTTTAGTGTGGCAATTGCTAACTGGTTCTGTTTATTTCACCTCGTTTTAGTGCCGCTGATGCCGCTGACCATGTTGATGCCACACATGACGTTTTGGGTGAGGGTCCCAATCTCGGGCTCGGACTCGGACTCGGGCTCGGTCTCATTCCCATTCCCAGATTCGGGCCCAATCCCAGTGGCAGTGACAGTTGCAGTTGCCAATCCCAGGGACCAGTAACCAACCACCAACATCCAAAAACCAACGAGCAAAAACCGGCGATCGGCGATCGGAGGTAAGTGATCAGCGATCGGGCACCGGCAGTGACGTCTCCGCTGGTCTGCTGATTTATTTTATTTCGCGAAAACTACATAAATATTAAAAATTATGCTTTACAGAAATATGAAATAAACATATGCCCGATACATGTTCTTTGATGTTCCTCTTCGCTGTTGCTGTTGCTGTTGCTCCCCAGGTTGTCGATGTTTTTGTTTCGCGGGTAGTTTACATTTCCTACTCGAGTGCGATTTTATTTGTGCTGGAACAATACCCATGCAGCTGAGATTTAAGCAAACATTATTGGCCTTCGATTGTCGGTGTTTGCATTTCAATAAACCTGCGTGAATCTGTCCGATCTGTCTGCGTACATTCATGCATGTTAAGCGAAGTAAAAAATTCCCAACACCTCATTTAACTCAATTTAACAGCACTTGGCATCATCTGCCGGTTATCGTTGTTGTTTCTGCTGTTTCTGTAGTTGTTCCTCCGATTTGCCTTTGTGTAGTTTTATGACTCAATTTAATGTCTTTCTTGCGTTGCGCGTGTGCTGTCCATTTGGACATCGGATGCCACCCACCGGACCAACATGTTTCATTCTCTTATTTTCATTCTTTATTTTGGCCATTCGGTTGGTTTCCCCTGTTTCAACTTATCGCAAGTCGGAAGAGGTGAGTACTTTCCACTGACGGGTGCATTTTAATTTTTATAAAGTCATCGCTACACTTTTGTGACTCATGCGACCCAGTTGTTTTTAATCGATGCAAGGAAAGTGAATCGTCCACTGATTCATTTGGATGGAGAAATATCACTGGATTTCAGTTAATAAATGCCGTGAAAGCATTTCTTGGAAATTAAGTAAGCAACATGACTATTACACCGCCAATCCTAAGAGACATCCAAGATTGGAAAGAAATAATTGATCAATTTCTATAAATACCACTAACATTATATGTATTATGTCAAATTAATGGAAAAAATCAAACAAATTAGGGGTTAATATACCAATTTTATGGAACTGTGGGAGATAATTGGGAGTGCCGAAAACAATTTAATTTAAGATAACGTTTATAGCACACGCTTATATTCTACTATCCGAAAATAGACAATTTAATGGCTTCAAAAAACGAGTTTCTCTTTGGACCCCCGCATGCTGAGTATATGTTTTTCTATATTTTATACTTCTAGATAAAGAAAGTAAAACAAGACACCGGCGATGGCTGAATAAATTGGTGGCTAAATTTAGCTAATGAATATGCAATACCAATTGCCCACAATCGGTTAGAAAGTCAGAATGCCGTCCATAAGGTCATCAGCCATGTCATCGCAAATCGGAGATCGGGACGAACACGGGTTTTCCATTTGATGATATAACTATATAACGAACGAAGGTTGCTGATAATTTCTCTAATCAGTCACTTGGCCGCCGTTTGTTTATCGCGGAGATCGCCTTGCGGAACCACTCGTATCGTCTATCGCAGCTTGCGAATATGATTGCCAATTGACATTTGCTCATAACTACACAGGTTCCGCCCCTGGCGCTGTCATTGGGTCCGATATCGTTATTATTATTGTTGTCAATGCGCCACTTGGCAATGCAGGTGTCAAGTGTCGGCGGCGCATCCTTGTTGTGGAGGTGCTATCGCTTCCGCTGCCATAAATCTTCCCCAACTGACTAATGATCAACACTGGCTTAGGCAAAATACATAATAAATAAAGAGCACATTTGGGACAAACCCGGAGGCAGAGATAAATGAGGGTGCGGCAGGTGATCTTGTTGATAAGTCAATCGAAACATTTTTATTAAACCAAATTCAGTGAGGGATCTTAACCCCCTTTTTAATCCATTTGACAAAACATTTCCATTAGCACTTCAGTTTTTTGCTCTCGACGGGGACAACGACTATTATTAAAATATAATTAATTGCAATTGAAAGCTGGCTGCCAGCCAGTCTGGCTGACAGACGAATAATTAAAATGTCATACAATAAAGTTGTGAGTGGCGAGAGCAGCTCCATTAACAAATTACGGAATTGGAATCGAAATCGAAATCAAATTCGGAATGATAATGGTAATGGGAGCTGCTCCATCATTTTGTTTTTCACCACCAAACAGGCGAAATAAGTCAATAAGCCAAGAGCAACACGTGTTTGAATGAATGAATGGCCGGTGTCGTAAAACCATAAACAATTTTCATTAGAGAAACGTTTTCATTCTTATGCTAAATCGATTCATATGCTGATCAATCTGCGCTTGTGATTCTTTCTTAATTTTTTTGAACTTGTGCCGGCACAGAAATTGACAAGGGTCTCGGCGGGGGAGAAGGGCAGTAGGGAACTGGGAACTGGGATATATGCGCACACACCTTCATTAATTCGCTTTGGTAGCCATCGTTTTTTCATTAAAAAGCCGTCAGCGTACAATAAATTTTGACCATTTTTTGTGATCTGGTGATTTTTTTTCACTTTGCGCCTGCTGAGCCGATTTCGCCCCGGCTCTTTATAGGCTTCATTATGGGCCCGATCGCTGTATGTATTTATTTTGCGCAGCCAGGCGACAGAACATAATTTTAACGCTCTTTATCGCGCCGCTCCGCTGCGCATGCGCGGCGTTCGACACTCGATGCGAATATTGATTTATGCCTCGCTTTTTGCACTTTATTTGCCGTCTTGGAATGGAAATCTCGAAACTGGCATTCGAACTCGGTGGCTAACTATATCAGCGCATTTGATCTTTTGCCTCTGCTGCTTTTGACATCCGATGAATTCATAAGAGCGACACGACAACTTAATCAAAGCTAAGCACCTATCATAATTTATCAATTTCTGTCAGCCGGAAAAAAACAAAACAACCCGAAAGACAGGAGAATACAATACTCAAATTAACAAAACTATTATTACTGCCTGACTAACGGTGCCACGCTGGAACCATTGGTGGTCCGCCGGTTCTAACAAGCCCGGAATACACATATATATTTCATATACATATCTCCTCTGATTGGAGCCCCCGACTTGTGAGCCGCCACTCGCTCGCCTTGAGAGCGTCTTGCTGCTTTTCGGCTGCCACTGTACGTTCCATTTAATGGCATCATAATAGAGCATACTTAAGCCAAACGTATCTATTATCTGGGGATCGTCTGCCTGCTGGCTCAGCAAAGGTCAAAGCGCGGAAGTTCAGCGAAACCCGAACGGGATCGCGATGAATAGATACGGCATCAGATATAATCCAAATGTGAGAGGAGTTTCGAGCCACATAACACTGTGGGAAAAATAGCAATTATAATATTGAGCTAAAAATTGTATAAAAATTTTAGGAAAAATTACCTTCAATCAATCTTAAAACAGTCAGAACAGAGCAGTTAAATTCTAGCAAATATTTCAAATGTTGCATACTATTGAACAAAAGATTGAACCCGCTCATAGCTTATGGTTTTTTTTTTATATTTTGGGTGATCCTACTCTGTAAACCTTAGAAATAAGTTTCAGGGACAGATTTCCTTAAGATATAGTGGCCCGATTGGATCTATTTTTTGGTTTACCCTCCCCTTTAAACTATAAGAAGACATATGAAATATTTTAGCCATAAATCTCAAAATCAAAGGCATATGTCTAAATAGAAAGTCAGTCATAAGATTTACCGAAATCATCTTTTTAAGAAATAAAATAAAACAAATATAATGCTAAAAAAAAATCATATATTGAATTTGTATACTGCATCGAAACTGTTTTAGTAATAGTTTTGAATTTTCAATAATACATTGTTATTAAAGGAGTTTTGCCCAGTGATTATTAATAGTTTTGCGGCAGAGTAGGGGAAGTACGGAAGCTTAGCGATGTTTACGTACAATAACTTGAAAGGTTTAATCTTATTAGGTTTAACCTGTTCGAAAACGTTTCAGAGAAAATACTGGACGTCATAAATTTTGAATGTCTTTGCAAACATATAACCAGGGGAACTTATCATAACTAATTACAAAATTACAGAAGCTTAAATGCCACCAATGTTCTTAAATACGTCATTGATCAACCTGTTTGGGAAACTAAAACCAGCTAATAAAAAAGTTTACATAAGCTTTACCGTTATTGACGTTTTTTAATACATCATAAAAAAAGGCGAAAATCTTTAACGTCATCATTGTATCTTAATACCCCTTTTCCTAGGGTAGAATAAAAAGCAAAAGCGCTAAACTTCATAATTCTTAATTAGCGTGGACACTGAACTAGAAGTGAGTCGCGAAACTTGTTTGCACGATCCGATCGGTTATGCTGAAATGACAAATTATGCATAATCAGCCTGCCAGACGAAGTTGTAGTTTCACAGAGAGATTCACACAATTAACGAACAGATTTATATATTTTTCTTTCAAACGAGACCAGGGAGTACAACAATGGCCGATTCGACAGAAAAACAAAATGACGCAGGTGGTTGGATGTTTGGATATATGATTGTTGAGGCCTCAGGATCTGTTGGGGGACTCCGTCTCGCCCTCTGGAGATGGTGGCTGCTCTTGGAGTCGGCCGATCACATCCACAAGGATCAATCCGCCCACGAAGCAGAATCCGGCTGCGTAGAGGTAGAAGATGGGGCTGTTGGGAAAGGAGTACTCCTCGTCCTGCCAGGACCCCTTGAAACTCATCCGCTGCAGGTCGACCAGGGCCGTTCGCATGGGCAGCCACTTGTTGACCATCACCTTCCCCTTGAAGATGATGGGCTTGCCGGCCCCGAACCGCCGGGATCCCCTTCCCATCTGCTTGTTCCGCACGGCGGACTGGTACTGCGACCACACCGTGTACACATGCCGCCCCGTGAACGCCGTCTCCGGCGGAGGGGTGGACTGGTGCTGCATCCGCAGGCGGGAGTCGTACAGCTGCCGGGAATTGTGCCGGTGGAGCGTCTGGTAAGCCTCGCAGACCTTCATGAAGACCGCCGGGTCGCGGGTCTCGCAGTTCGCATCCGGATGGTACTTCTTCGACAGCTCGATGAAGGCCCGCTTGATCTCCCGCTCGCTGGAGCCCACCGGCACGTTCAGCACCTGGTAGTAGTTCTCGATGCGGGGCTGCGACATCGGGTGGCTCTGGTACGTGAATCTGGAGCCGTAGCTGGCCAGGTGGCGCACCGGTTGGCCGGCACAGGTCTGTATCGCCCTCAACATTCACGTGAATTTTGCAAATCCCAAATCGTTACTGTAAAAATTCTAAATTTTTAAACCTCTTACTCTCGCATGAAAAAGAAAAATGTATTTATTTGACTGTTCGACAGCCGTCAACTAATCTGATCTGGATGTGTAGTGAGTTTTGAGTATACATGAATTTCACCTGATCGAGGTTAACTTAAGTTTAGTATCTGAGCAAATTAGTATTGTGCAAAAAACAAAAACTTAGAATTATATTATAAAGTTTTAAATCCCATTTTAAGATTGAAAAAAAGGAGGTCGTAACGACTTATTAATTTCGTAACTAATAAAGTTTTAGTGATTTATAAATAGAATAGGGGACTAGGAAGAGTCCTATTAATTTGCATTTCAAATTGAATAATTGTTTTATATCTAACTTTAGTGTATAAATGATTTATATTTTTCATATTCATTTATTCTCATTTCTTGAGTTTTATTTCATAACTTGACAAGTAAAACTTGTTCTCTGAGTTTTATTTTCCGCTTTAAAAATAACAGTTAATTTTTGAGTTTTATAATCAAAAAATAAATTTAAATTTAAATAATTAACAAGGTGAAGAGCGCAAATTCGGAACCCCAATAACGTAACCTGACTCAGCATCAGGGCGTGTTAAATGCCCCATATTTGGCCAGGGGGCGACAAACTTTTTTGTCAACAGCCCCGAGCGATAAAAGATCGACCCTGGGCTATATAAGCGACCCCATGGCCAATTCTGTAAACAGTTGTGGTATGATTTGTGGGCCATTATCTCTTTGTCTGACCTTCCGGAAGTGCCAACGAACTTGGCAATGAATCTTCCACGCTTGGAGCGACGCGTGTGCTCTGCATTTAGCTTGATAACCTGATAACTCATTTTATAGAGCTCACTCAAAGATTTGGCCAAGAAGTGTCGCATGTGTGGGTGGAATCGTCGAGGCAAGTGGGTCATTTCTCTCGCCGCTGGAGATATAAACAATTCCATTGAACTCGCATTTTGCCCACTGCGTCAGCGGTGATGGGTTTGGATTACGTCGAAGGTGGCTAAAAATATTTGCACAACACATTACTATAATTGTTTTTGATGGCGCATTATACGCAGTTTGACAATTTCAAGCGAATCACAATATTTGCCCACCCAGTCATTCATTCACCTACGAATTAGTGTGGCCATAAATGGGCTTATAAATAGAGATGCTGCTGTTTATTGCTTCCCGGGAAGATGCACATCTACAAACCACTTTTTTCAGTTGGAAAAACCTGCCAATAAATTTCTTTGTTTTTTTCAGCAGACTCTGACTAACATCGGTTAGTATTCATAAATATATGATTGAAATGGGTTTGAAATAAATACATACCTATTTAGCTACACAATTCCTAAACACAAATTATATTCACCTAAAAACTTCAAAATATAATATTTCCTTAATAATGCAAAATTTTATTTGTTTTTAAATTATTTTTAAGAATTATTTCTCCCATAAAAATTAAATTTAATTAATAATTATCCACAATAAAGACATTTGGGTAAAATTAAAAATACTTTCAAAACAATTCTTCAGTGTAATACCCCATAAGTTTGTTCCAACCTCCGACTTGACTTCATTTGTATCTTGGTCGGGAATGGAACCCCACCTGCTAATTGGTTTCGGTTGAACTGGCAGCTTCTTGGAGTCCCAGGAACAGTGACCTCGAGGCGGTGAGATCCCAAAACATTTCGCGAAAAGCTGTGAACATTTAATTGGAATTGATTAAGCCGCCGGGCCGGTTGTGGATGGGCAGGTCATTAGCGATTGGCGACTTTAAATGGTTTCAAGTCGCCGGAATCCCCATCTATTTATACTAGATCAAAGGGCTGAACTGAACCAACGGCCATTATCATCGTTCGCGCGTCACTGTATTGCTGGGTTGGGTGTATTTTGGCAGCATCATTTGGCCACAGCCCATATGTTAATTGACACTAACAATTTGTTTCACCAAGACGAGGCATCTAGCCACGTTTCCGTCGAAATTACCATAGCCAAACGCAGTTTGCCGGCGAGAAAGCCTGATGGCCCGGCCAAATGCAAAATGAAAATTGGAAACAGGTTCTGTTTCTATTGAAGAATTAGCTGGCCCATCCCATCCCATCCCATCCCCGCAGCAACCCAAACCGAAGCGAACAGAAGATTTACGACGGGTGGTGACTGGTTGTCTCCGCCGAACGCTGGCTCATTTATCTGGCCAAATAAAAGATGCGGCCGCCCCTTTCTCCCCGACTTATTTTGACGGGCCAAGAGTTTTTCATTGGCCTGTCTGATGGCCAGTTTACGACGGTTTCTTTCGGGGCCGGGGCTCCATGCTGGGTCAATGGACAGGAACGTTGCCAAGAAGTCTGCGCCGGCTATGGCTCATCGATTCAATTCGGTTCGATTCGATTCGATTCAATTCGAGTTGGTTTATCGAGTCGCAACACGGCATTCGGCGAAATTTAAATTATTCATATGTCAGGTTGAAGGCTGCTGCTGCTGCCTTTCGCGTGTAAAAACCTATTTGATCGCAAGATTAACTCCGTTCGGCGATTGTCCGCGGATCAATTAAAACTAAGTAATGGCGTGTGTGAAACCGGCTAGAAACGGAAATACACAAACTTCGCAAATAGCCAGAGTTTGCATCAATCAAGTGGAACAGTTTTATTAGTATATTTGTTGAATATTTTAATGGGGGAAGTACGAGTTTCCGATGTGCGAGAAGGTGTCCAGCCCTTGTCCTCAATCGATTTCTTACTAAACTACTCAGTTTCAAACTGCGTTTCGAAGCCCTGGGATTTTCGTTCCTAAATTCGTCTTGTTCCTCCTTGTCTCCTTTAAATTATTATCTCAGTTTCCATTTCCTTAGCCTAACTATCCTTCAATCAGACTTTCCGTTGCTTTCCGAGGAAGTGATATGAATGGTGCCCTGATTAACTATTAACTTTAAGTGAGAGGTATTTAAAAGGACACCTTTTTAGCCACTAATGAGCCAGGTCTTCAGGTAGACAAACGTTGAGGTGACCACCTCGGTTATCTGGTGCGCAAATTCTGCAAGAGAAGACACAGAAACATCATAAACTTTACTAAATATGCCGCGCACAAAGAGACTTAACGATTGTGTACTCAAATACTCAAATAAAGTGCCCGCCAACTGCATTCCTAATTTGCATTTACAGACCTGTGGGCTTTTCTCTTTAGTACCAGCAACCATTTTGGAACCAAGCCCTAATGACAATGCATCGTCTTCCTATACTCTAGCTTTTAATGGAGTCCCCCAATTGTGTTTATATCTTAAGTTTTTAAAAAATATTTTTAACTTTAAAACTTATCTGGTTAGATCTTCTTTTTACTAGTGGTTAACCAAACTCACAACTGGCTTGAAAGCGAATTATTTAAAAGAGTTTAGTTCATCAAACATGTGAAAAAATAATATGCGATTTTATTTACACGCTAACTATGACCAATTTCATTATTCCGAAAATTATTTTAGTTAAATAAGATCGAATGCTTGACTGATAATAAAAAAGCTACCCTTTGATGAAATCAAATTTGATAATTGTTATGTTCTTTTTAATTTAGCATTATAAGAATAAAAGACCACTCCTAAACTGCTATAAGTTTTCGCACCATAATCATTTTCAAAATCATCATAATAATATTTCTTTGAATAATACAAAAAATTTTTTTCTATTAGAATTCTAGATATTGGAATCAAAATATTTGACATTGGTATGTTATTATAGATAAGAAGATTAAAGATTAAGATAGATTAAATGAACAGAAATAAAATAATTTGTAGATAATTTTAATATTGAAACAGATTTTATTTCTATGAATCTAAGATAGAGCATGACATATTCGTTGTTCAGCTGAGACCAGATAGACTTTCTACAATGCTCATGCTTAGTCTCGGGTAGGGGACACTTTAAGTTTTATTACGGGCGCGAAATGGTGACCATAAAAAGCAACCCTGAACCAAAACCCTGGGCAAATTGACAAATGTTGGCACGCAAATTAGGGGGACTTGGGGAACGGGGGAGCACGATGGTGGGCATTTATGGGGCACCTTTCGTTTTAATTTGCCGTGATTAATTTGCATATTTCGGCCTGCACTCGGCATGCGGAAATGGCGGCATAATTGTGGATTTATAAGCATCATAAATTAAGTTTTCTGCACTTCGGCTTAGTGAGCCGTAAATATGCGATTTTATTTGGTGTTTATCATTTCAGTTTTTATTGATTTAATGCAAATGCAAAGTGCCGTGTAATTAGCAGCCAATAAGTTGGGAATGATGGAGCTGTTGTCTCAGTTGAGAGGCGCTTCCTGAAGATGATGACTTACTGAAAACGCGGAGAGATGTGCAAATGCCATTGACAAATGATCGACGGCCGGGGCGGGAAATAAAAGCGGATTGCTGTTTGTTTAGTACATGATACATGAGTTTTATTTGTATTTTACTTGTATCCATCTTGTATCGATATACAATATATTTCGTAATATAATTTCACTTAAATTTGTGTATTCTTTATGCTGCTTCAATGCGGTTTTCAATTGTTTACACATTACATTTCCTCTTGGTAGTTTCTTACTTTCTCTTGAGTTTCAGTAATCGTATTACATTTAGCATTCAATTGTGTTTTTTATTTTTTCCTTTGTTTAGCAGAATTTTGGTTTCGATTATATGTAGTAGTATGTATATAATATTCAGTAAAATGATCCCTACATTTTGTATGCTCATGTCATATTTTTCAATCTAGATGTATGTCTGTATATATATATATTTATATATAGTTAATATCTTAAAACAGCAATTATGTTTTGCATATGTTATCTGTCGTCTGCGCAAGGTCTGCACCTCGTGAAATGAACTTTCATTTCGTCTTCCTTGAATTTAAAGTAAGTTCTGCGACAATAATAATTATAATTAAATCGGTAACAAGGTTCCGTCATTGACACACAAACAAACATCGTCTTACACATTAAATAGAATTCTGCTTTAATTTTTGGTTTGTATTTGCTTACTGTTTTGCTGAACACTAAAGCGTCGCCATCAAATGATATATTCAAATTTGGAACACAAGATGAGGACTTGGAGCTGCCATTGTACTAACTGTATGTGTATGGGTGTATCCACTGTATCCACTTTTATGAGTCTCGATTTATTAATTTTCGATTTGCTCTTGACTTTTGCTCTTTTGCGTGAACAAAAGTTGTCTTATTTGTTATTTTTAGCTACCTTTTAACTTTATTTGCATTAGTGATGCCTGATGAGTGTGTTTGTTTGCTATTAAGTAGTTTCATAGCCATTACACATTACTCAAACGGGAATTCGTATGTGTGTGTGTGGGTGTTCTCATGGGTGTGTTTAGTGTGTGTGTGTTGGGCAACTACAACTTGCAATATAAGCTAATCGGTGTGTTCTAAGTGAAAACATATTTTCAAGCGAGTTTGTCAAACGAAAGTCGAGGAATTCAACGGAAAATGCTTGGCATGATTAAAAGCTAACAGTTATAATTACAGTATTTTTGCTTATTTTGTTTGTTATACTTTTACTTTTGTTTTATTACCACTAACAAGTAAGAACACATATTTAACCACAATTTGTTTTTGTTTTCCGTTCTCTGGCTTGTTTCTGCTTGTATTGTGTTTGCTTGCTGCTTAATTTTTACAAATTGCCTACTTAAAAAGTCATAAATCAGAGCCTTACTGCACACCTGCTGCTTTCGAGTGTATTATTCATAATATATAATTAAACTAAATAAACAATAGGCCATATATTGATATGTATTTGATTTTTATACATAAAAGACTCTGTATTTAATTTACTAAACGTCATCTCTGCCTTTAAACTCTAATTGTGAAAATTGTTATAATGTCAAATGCATATCTGTGCCTGGTTTCTTCAGATTTTATCGTATTATATATTTTTATTTCATCAGATTCAGATTTAGATTCTGTTTGTGTGAGTGTGTACTTTGTATTGTATTCTATTGTATAGCATTCAACATATTTATTACATTGTACAGAGAGTTTTGTCTACCACCTAGATTTCGATTTTATTATCAGATGTCGTAGCTGATACAATTTTTAACTTGTCTTTAATACACAATAAACAAAAACATGAACTATGTTTTTTTTTCATTTAGGTTTTATCTTTGTTTTTTTATACAAAACACAAACACAATAACCGTCTAAGGATTCTGCACATGTATTTTCTATTCCTACGATTCGTCCTTCTATGAAGTGTGAGTGTGGGTGTATTTGTGGGGGTATGCGTGTGTGTTTGTGACCAGCATGCTTTCATTATTATCATAGATTAGAATATGAGTGTTTCCGTTTCCGTTTCGGTTTCGATTCGTTTATATATAAATTCTTTTACAATTGGCAGACTACTACAGCAAAAGCACACTGAGATGTGTTTGTGTGTGAGAGTGGGTGCGTGTGTGTGGTTGTCCTATCGTATAAATATATAAATATATTTTATTAAGATGACCTGGAAGAACCGCAACGAAAGCCATAATCTATACAAATCATACGAGTAGCGATTAGTGCACGTTCACCAAAAAATGAGACGACGAAGTGTCCATGTCCATGTCCATGTATAAAAATTTAGATCTATAAGCATAACACTTGGAATTTGTCTTTCATTCGTTTGCTCCTTTTGCTTCTAAGGCGAAATATTATATTGTCAATTCTTTGGCTTGAGCCGAAAACCATGCAAAATGACAAAAAATATTCCTAATTTCGGGTGAGACGAAAATAAGGGAGGAAAATGCATATCAATGGTAACAACGTAGTCGTAGAATGAGTACTTTCACTTCTCTATATTTTTTGAAGGCAGAAGGCATAATACACGGTAAACACATGTACTTTCTTTTTGATATTCATTAACTCTATGCTCGCTGTGAGTGGACGCACAGTTAACACTGCCCAATAGTGACCTCTGACCCTCTGATCCCACCTGACCTTGGAGGCCGGCCAAGTGGGCGTGGCCCCGTCACAGGCAGCACTCGCTTTGGCCCACTCGCCTCTACAGAATTACAGGATTAACTATCAAGTCTAGTCTTGGAATCGGTTACTTTATATATATAGTACCTAGCTTTAATTACTTTTTGGTTTCGGTTAAGAGGCGAACGTGGTGCAATCATAGGGAGAGGGGATAGGGATTAAAGCTAGTTATCTTGGAGTTCGTCTCACACTTTTTCGTGTCCACGGTTTTAGACAATGGCTTAGTACAAAATTTTAAAGTTATTCATCGTTTGTTAATATCTCCATTTTACGCAATTTCGGTTTTTGCTTTGTTTTTGTTTTCATTTCGCTTCTTGCATGGTATAAAAATATAAATGTTCCACATATACTTAAAAAATCCTTTTGTTTAAGTTATTATTTCGCATCATGCAGTGTTATTATTTGTTTCGTTATGTTAGTTTCTTGTTTGTCCCTTTAAGAAGTATTTAAAGTAATGCATAACTTAGGAATGCCTTGTGGATCTGCTGCTTCTGCATCTGCTTCCGATTCGCTTCTCGCTCAATTGTAGAATTATTCGTTAATCGCGGTGCAATTGTCGTATAACTATGGGGAGTTTTCTAAGTAAGTGGCTTGCTATCGTTGCTTGCATTGGTGTTGAGTACGAGTAGTATCAGATATAACGATCAGATATACAGTGTCCTAAGTGCATTCGTCACCTGGCTAGAGGGTCACATTAATTTTCCTAGATGCTACAGTTGAAAGCGAACATCGCTCAGTAGGCCTCGACCACAGTTCATACCTAATACAATACAATAATTGTTTATTTATTTGGGATTCGCTTGGTTTTTGTTTTTGGTTTTGGTTTTGGTTTAAGGGTTTTCTCGTTTATTGGTTGGTTTTAAAACTTTCAAATGTTAGCAAACAGTTAATGTTGTTGTTGTTGTTCGTAAGTCTAATACTTGCTGAATCTATGTATTATCAGATAGTGTGTGGTATTATAATAATTGTTGATAAAAATAACTTAATTAATATCAGTGTGGCTTACCTTAGTAAATTTCGAAAGGTTTTCGATTTCCATAGTTAATACATATTGATATGCCTTTAATACGATTACAGAGTACGGTTACGATTACAGATTACAATTACGATTACTCATTAGTTCTCATTTAGTCTGCGACACACACTGAACTCTAGGGTTGACAATGATCTTTCATTTTCTGGATTTACGTTTTGAACAATATTTATTTATAGATATAGACATACCAAGTACATATACGTTACTCATTATACAATACGTTTGTGTTAATCATTGATCCAATTTCGCTATGTGTATAAAATTTCTAATTACCATTATTCAGTATTAAATCATTTCATTTTTCTTCCGTCCAAGCTCTCCTTAAGCCAATTTGTAAAACGTTTAGTACAAATACAATAATATACTGATATGTTTTGCATTATAAATATCGTCATTGCCCCGAACTATGCTTAAACCTCAATTTTCGATCGATTCTTTATTACAATTTATCAATTTGCTTCGCTTTGTTCGCTTCGAAAAAATTTGTCTTGGGTAGTGCTTGACTTGGGGGTATATTTACTTTTTCTTTCGTCCCTCCTAATAAACCAATGCCAATTTTTGTACAATACAATTGTTGATTTTCCGAAAATTTCCATTTGGGTTTGTTCATAAGATTCTTGTGTGGTTACAAATTTCGTGTGTGGGTTTTCCTTGGGAATGTAAATCGAAATCAAACGAACCCTCAACCTAAGCATGAAACCAATGCAATTTGGCCAAATATCGTTAGGCAACAAGGACTTTTTCGAACTGAAAGCTAAAATTGTGCCATTAAATGCGCTCAAAGATCGCTCATTAATGTGGGCGTGGCAAAAAGTGTCTGTCATCTGAGCGAGTTTTCCGTTTGGTAAACGTATCTGTAAACTTTGTTTCTTTTTGGCTGCCCCCTGAAGGCATGACAAACATTTGTTTCTATTTTCGTTAATATTTATCAAAAAATTCCGTCCATCCTTTGGCCAATTTCTTTCAAATTAAGCAATTTAGCGTTGTGCTACACAAAACAATTTGGTTTGGGCCTGGCCTATGGCGCGTGGCGTGTGGCTTGTGGCTACAGTGGTCTCTGGATACGGGAGTCCGGCCGGGAAGCGCAGGGTCCTGCGAAGGACTCTGGCCGACCCTCTGACTGCCTGGGGCGTGCGTGGAGCTCTAAGTTCAATTTACAAATGTTCAGCAATTGCCATCGACTTGCTCAAACCGATCCTACTTAATTCCGTAAACAAATCTCCTGCTGCTCCTACACAAATGTCTGCGCCTACAAAAAATTTTGTTTCCTTCCGTTTGCTAAATTTTATTAATATACGTGTTCTAACTTTAGGTGTGTGTGTGTGTGGGGTGTGGCGTGGATGTGGATGTTGTGTGTGTTCCAGTGTGTGTGGGGCTTCTGCCGGCAGTGGTTTTCTTTTAGAAAACCCCCTTGGTTCGCAATGCGGCGCAGATGTAGATCAGAGCAGCGATTCCCAGGAGCGGCAGTCTCGGGGATATGGAAGCACTTCCCGAATCGCCATCGCAGCCTGTTCCTATTGAAAAAGAAAGTAAAAGGAGTTTATATTCAAACACAATTATCAGACAGGTTAATAATGATTGTTTATGTATGTGGGCGGTTCTTGAAAAGGTTGTTCTTCAAGCCATGAACTTCTATCCTTCTCTACAAATTGCCATTTTCTCTGATCTACTGCTCTGTTGTCGTTCAAAAGCCATAAAATAATAAGGATTTATGGGGTACACTCAAAAATAAGAAAAGCAAGCGTTTGGTTTTCGGTGCGAGTTTCGGTGCATTGGTAACGAAAGAAAGGATTTCACGCGAACTTACCTTGGAGCGCAAAAGTGCCTCAGAACGGCCTGCTTTGCATTGTCGTATCATAATTTTTACATTTATGCAAACATTGGTTCAGTCAAAATTCGTGTGCTAATTCATTCGAAAGTTGTTTGGCCACAACAAAAACCAGACAAGATACAAACTTCAAATGGCCCGGCCGGCGATCAAATTTCAACACGCCAAACCAGGCCCAAAGACCCGCAAAGTTTTATTTTTATTTTATTTTTCTCTCTGCCGCCCGAAGTACAGGGATAACTTGCTCAACGACTTATAATTTATAATCCCCTCATGTGAAGTGCAAGTGTGCAAAATGACTTAAAATCAAGCGAGGCAATAAAACAATGCGAGGCAAATCAATTTCGAAATCAATCTTCGGCTATAGCTGGGCCATAAATCGCCTTTATAATATAGGAATTGTTCATATTTCTTGAGCCACGCTGTCGCGTGCATTTAATTTTTGCTAATTTGAATTTAAAAGGCTGACCAAACCATAGATTATACGCTCAGATAATGAAGAAATAAATTGGCACAGCCGCAACAAAAACCACATACAAATTAAACACGGCGAACATTTGAAACACGTGTCGCTAAAAGCCAAAATCCAAGATCCAAAAACGAAACGAAACGAAGCGAAGCGACGCGAAAGAGAAAAGGCCATACAAATGCAAAAGATATTGTATCTACAAGCGGTCTTTAATCCGTATCCCAACGCGTGCGCCTGAGTTATGACACTATGATCATTTATTTATCGCGGCCGGTGACATTTCTCGATTGCGGCGGTGCCAGCGTGTCTGGTGGAAACAGCAGGACGACCGCCGACCAGTTCCAGTTCCCATTGTATAAGATTAATACAAACTAGATCTTGGGTGAAATTTTAAATGGCCATTAAGGCAAATGGGAAGCATTGTTGGCAAGCGCGCTGTTGGCCATAAATAATAAACCGCTACATATACACATGCAAATTAATTAATTTGCCAAAAACCCGTTTGCTTTGCATCGCAAAGGGGAGCGGGAATAGATCTTTTGGTGCTAAGTGGCAACTTTTACCGCAGCCAGATCAAAAGTGGAGCTGTAGCTGGAGCTGGAGCTGGAGTTTGTCATATATCCAAAAGCCGTCGATTGATCGATTGGAGAGATATCTGCATTAGGAGACTGCAACACCCGCTCTCCCTAGATCCCCAGTTCGTTTCCCCCAGCCTCATTTGCATACTCGATCGATCGGCTTTATGTAAAACCAAAATTAGCCCCTTAAACCAACAGCAACTCCAACACGGTTAATTAGCATAAATTAAGTTTTTATTAATTTGTGAGACAGTAATTTTCTTTTGTGCCACTCATCAATTTGTGGTGCTTTGGTGGTTGCGAGCCAGACTTGGTGGCGCGGTGCTCTGCGATAGTGATCTTTCACCCAAACCCATAAACTTGTCCACTCGCTTTAATGGCTCTACGACTTTTACAATTTTAAGTGCAAACGTATAAAGCCGCGACGCCCACCGACTCACAGTTTAAACTACTTATAAACCTAGAGACATTCGGCTTTTACGGGGCTCGTCATTGATCATTGTCAGGGCCAGGCTTATGGCACATATGCATATTTACATTTCTTTCTCGGTCAGTCGTCCGATCTGCCTCGCAACTCATTTCCCTGATTGATGCGCACATTTTGAAAAGCTGACAGGGCCATAAATAAAAAACGTGGACGGATAAATGAAATAAATTCAAAAGCATAACTATAAAATCTTTCACCGAAACAGTCGCGTCAGACCCTCTGACTCACGATGGCCACTAAGTAAAAAGGAAGGAACTAAACGGGAATTTACTGTATAGCATACAGAAAGAAAAAGTATTTGTAGTTATTGAATTTCCCTTTTTTAACAAAACTATATACAAATTTTCGTTATATACCTCTAAAATTAAACTTGAGGAAATAATAACTTTTATATGCCAAACTAAATTTTAAAATAAATTCTGAAAACTCCAAAAAATGCAAGCGAAAGGCAGAAAAGAAGTTAATCATTTTACGGAATGACATTAAAAAACTTTGTTATTTTACCTCACATTTTAAATACTAAGAATGTTGGTCATAAGTTGAAAATATATTTTTCCTTCATATAAATTGTCCACAAGTGGTTGCAAAATTTGGCTATATTTCTCTCTGTGCAGCTTTAAGCCATCATTAATCATTCGAGCCGTAAGTGTAAACCTTATCGATTGACACTTGCTCTTTGTCCAGAGATTCCCGAAAGAAAGTCTTGGGATAGGTTGGCACTTCAAACGTCGTTACCCATATGTTTTGCTTGACCAGTTTGAACCTCAGAGCAGACCCAATCCCAGCTCGACTTGAGGTGTGGCTTGGATGATGCCGACAGCCATTAGCGGACTTAATGCCACTTTTTACGATATATCGTAGCGAATACGAAATTTATGTTAATTGTATGCCAAACTTACACACAAACGAAAACGACACAACGCAACGCAAGAAAAAAGAACACAGATAGCGCAACACTATGGCAAATAAAACCCCCAACGATGACTGTACTTTCATTCACTTTTCAGATTAGAGTGTGCCAGACATCCATATAGTTCTGTCATTACTCACTTGCCCAACTCCTGACTTTCGGCAAGTAATCGTTCCAGAAAGAGCACCTGGCCGCCAAAGGACCTCTGGCCAATTTCTCGATCTTGTCGTCCGTGCTGAAAATGTAGTAGACGGGGTCCTCCTTGGAGAAGTTGGGCCACTCCTCGCCATCCTGAGCGGGATTTCTGAAAGTGGAAGACGGTATATGAAGCTTTTCTTATGGCAAAAACGGGTGGGAAACTCGGCTATGGCCGCCATAAAGGCAGGAAAAGCTCGAGGTGAAAAGCTTGAACCAGGAAACTCACCCTGTCTTGGCGAACTCGATGACCGCACTCAGCATACGCTTGCCCAGCTCACGCTCCACAGGTCGATACTGCAGGGAGTTGTTCAGCGGCTGGCCAAAGAAGTACTCAATCTCGTCGCCGTGCAGCACGCCCATCCATTCGCCCCACAACGAGGTGCTCGTGCGCTGGAAAAGCCAACAAAAATGCGAGGGGAAAACCGTGAAAATGGGGCCGTCAAAAAAAGGAGAACAGTGCCGCGACACTGTCGTAAACTCAGCCAGAAATTATGCAGATAAACATCTACCCTTTTTATTTATTTATTTGATTTTGCTCGCTGGCTGCCTGACTGGCTGGCGCTCCCTGTAAATTGTAAATATTGTCGCAGCATGCCGCGCACTGGAGCGGCGAAGAAAAAACGAATGAATAAATAAGTAAATGCCTGGTCGACTGCCAGTTCAGAGTTCAGCATTCAACATACAGCGCTCAGCCCGAAACTCTGTCGCCCTTGACAAGCAACGGCATTAAATGCTCTCGTGTGGCGCCGTTTTCACGTATCTCACAGCAGCTTGTACTGCAACTGCATCTGGGGACGCCGAATTGCAGGACAGGCTGTTGCAATGGGTACGTGCATGCACGACCACATTGCGTATACGTCCTGTTATACAGCAGACCACGTCCGCCGTATAGATAAGCCCAACAACCTGATAGAAATACACAGGTTGTATTATGTTGGGTTTACTTTTTAAGTTACATCTTTAATTTGAAACTTTTTATAAGAAGTTGGCAACCGACAAAAATTATTAAGAGCTCTACAAAGATTAATATTATATTTTTATAAGGCAACTTGGGAGAGAAAACCAAAATAGGAAGAATTCCAACTTATTTTAACTCCTCAGTCAGAATCGAAAAATTAAGACCACTTTTAATATAAAATTAATTATATGCTTATAATTCATTTGAATTTGCAAAAAAAAATGAGCTGTAGTACCTAAAGACTTATACTCAGTTTAATAAGGTACTTTACGAAATGAAAAATTCTATATAATAATGATTTTTGTTTAAATTTATTTAAGGCCAAAAGCACTAAACTGAGAATAACCATTTGGCTATAGTGACAGTGCTATTTGAGCTATTTGAGATGCAAAACTTTATTGAAATGCTTGATTGTTGACTTATAATTGACAAATCAAATTTGAATGTTTGTAGCTTCTTCAAGCTTATTAGACTTGACCATTTGCGAAGCATACTTCTTGGCTTTAATTAAAAGCTAGTAGCAGACCTTTCCCGTTGCTACTATCTGCTGATTTACATTTCATGGCAGAGCCAGCTACTCCATCCGAAATGCTAATTAGGCAATCCCAATCCCCTTGTAAAATGCAATCTCATGCAAAGCGAAAAACCAAAGCCCGCCAATGCGATTCCGCTGACCATTAGGCCTAGCCAGGAGTTGAAAGCTGAAAGCTGAAAGCTGGGGCTAACCACTTAACCATTCAACTTGAGTTGGCCGCAGTCGGGCTCTGGCTGAGCTGCACCTTGACAGGCTGGCAGCCAAGTGCCAAGTCGCATAATGAATAGTGTCCGGGATATGCCAAGGGTAATTCTGGTAATGCGGGGCTTCTGCTCCTTTGCTCCTTCTGCTCCTGCCAAGTTGTTGGAAATTTATGCGACTTGGTCGTTGGCTGTCAGGACACACGTCCCCTATCCGAGTGTATGTACACTCACATAACATAAAAGTCCTGCAGTCCTTACGCCTTTTCGTGCAAATAATGAAAAATTGTACGCAGCCGGAGCAGAGAGCTAAACTTTTTTGATTTAAGCGCAAAATTGCAAACAGCGCTGAGAAACTTGGACTCGGAGGTCATAATGAGAAACGCCATGGTCGAGTCGAGAGGAGTAGTGGACTACAGTGGAGTAGAGTACAGTGGAGTGTGGCCGAGGCGGAAAGTGAGGGGTAATGGGAAGCAGGAGGAGCAGTTGAGAAGAAAAACTTATTTAAGTGCCAGGCACGTTGCACGCTGCAGTAGTCAGCGGCGAATGGCGAAATGAAATAGAAACAGGAGCCGGAAAAAGGGGCGGGAAAACGGGGGGAAAATGGAGGAAAGCTGGTCAGTCAAGCATGTGGCCAGTGGCCATTGGGGGACGGACCCGCCCCCTTGGTCACCAGCCAAGCAGATAGACAATCTGGCAGGCACTTTAGCAGCTGGCGACCCCATTCGCCATGCTTCGTCGCCCCATCGCGGCCCCGTTTATGGGCAAAGTGAGTTACGAGTTCTGCTGCTGCAACTTGACGGCTGTAATTAAAACTAATTTCATTTGCTTTCATTTCCATTTCGGAGGCGCCAGTCAGCCAGCCAGTCAACCAGCCATCCAGCAAGCTGGGCTATTGGATTATTAACGGGCGATTTGGTATAAACAATGCAGTCCAACTGGCACCCCGCACGCACTCAGTTTGCATATTGTGCAATCAGCCGGAAGAAGCAACGACTCAACGGGATAACAGTTTAATTATCAGTGTAAACTGACGCAAGAATCGACCATAGATCGAAAGTGAAGAGCATATTGTGCACCATGCTGTGTAGTGATTTGTCAAGCTACTCGAAAGAACTAACTAGTGATGTGGAAACAGCATGATTAATAAGCCAAAACACTATAACTTGTATTTATTATTCTCATTGACGCTATCGCACTAGGTTCCACGCTGCGTATGCGTAATATTTATCTACCTGCTGCAGTGATTTGTTCAGTCAAATTACCACTTATCATCGGTCAATATCGACTATAATTCGTAGCCATTAGTATATGTGTGTTCAAGGAATCGAAGCCCTCGAACGAAAATCAATATATTATACAGAGGCCTCACTGCGTATACGCATTGTGCGAGCTGCGTATTTGTTAATCATTAGGCCGTTCCAACTGGGCCTGCAACCAGCCGATATCAATCGACGGCAACAAGGCACCGCAGCCAAAGTCGTTTAAACAAATAACTGACTGAAATTATGCCCCACACGTGCAGGGCATGCGGGCCGTGACCTCGTAAATTGAAGTTTCATTAGTCGACTTGGCCACCCTGCTCCTGCTCCTTCCACCACAGGTCGTGATCCAGTAACGATTGCCGGTCCTGTTCCCGCACAGTAAAGTAGTTGTGTGGATGTGTAGTTGTTGTGTCTGCCCGCAGAAAACCTCCTTGTGCGAGTGCGTGTGCGTATAGTTTAATTGGCGCCCAACGTGGGGCTTTTGTGTGTGTCTGTACGAGGGTTCTTCACTCGCTGGTGGGCGTGTGTTGCGTGAAACTTTTGGTTACCATAATTATGGCGGCCAAGGTTGCCTGCCCTGCCAACTCAACAACAGCAAGAACAACTGCGACAACCACAACGACAACAGCGACCCTTGCCCCCGATAGGTGTGACATTATGAAGTCCAATTAAATGGATTGCACGTATTCAGCCCGGCTCTCTGCAACAAATTGCTGGATTAATTGAAAAATACACATGGACTGGTCGGACACGCTAAGCAAAATGGCACTTGGCAAGGGACTTCATCCGCTGACAGTGATTTTTCAATCACACAGTCGTTTCAAATACTGTAATTACGCGGAAAATATCACATAAGGTTGACGAATCAATTGGCTAATAAAATCGTTACCTCAGCTTTTACTCATCTTCGGTTGGATATATATTGCACGCGATTATAATCGACGCAATAGTCTAGCCAGTTGAGAAGTAATAATTAAACGAAATCCTTTAATCGACGACAGAATCACTTTTAGAGGGTGAGGAGGAGACTACGGACAGGACGGAATTGATTTAACTAAAGAGATTGCATACTAAGACTGAGAAAAATAGGAGAGATAGCGGTTGAAGTGTATTAATACCAATTGAGAAAATTTGATCTGTTGGGGCCGGGGGGCGTTGAATGGTACCCAATATACTATGAATCCGATGCTGCGGTACAATAGTATTTAAAAATTAAAATTTTTTATATTTCTATAGTTAAAAAAAAATTTGGAATTAATTTTACGTTTAAAGGGTATATTTAAGGACTATTTGCTTCTTTTTGACATCATTTCTTGAAGTTAAATAATCAAGAATTGGTAGCTAAAAATTAGTTATTAGCGATTTTTTGAGAACGCTATTGGCGGTTTCTTTCTATTCTCGAGTCTTTCATGCTTTTAGAATTAGACAACTTTTGATTTAAAACACATTGAAATGTTGGCAAAAATGTAATTCTTTGTTAAAGAGGCGCGAAGGAGAGAATTCTATCAGGTGTATTTATAAAGTTAAATACTTATTCAAGTTTCGCCACAAAATTGTATATCAGAATGTGCGATCATCACGAGTTTATTACCTCGTAAGGTGTTGTATTTGTTTGAAATAAAATAAGCTGATAACATAATTCACGCTTTTATATATTCCGACGCTTTGAATAGTTCAAAACATCAGTATTTACAGTTTATCTCAACTTGTTTAAACTTTTTATTTAAAACCGATATTTAAATGCCCAAATGAAAACGAATAAAATTAGGTAAGCCTGAATATTTGGTGTTAATTACCATCTCAACTCTAACCTTTACATATGCCTGTTCATGAACTTTTCATTACCGAATAATTATAGACTATGAAACAACACTGGCTTGTCTTCATGTTCGAGCTATTCTCGACTAAAAGCAATCATCTAGGGTCTGCTCCTGACCTCATTCTGGTAAAAGAACTTTCACTTTCTGTATTTCAGATTAGCCGCAAGCGCTGCTTTCAGGCAGCTCAGCCCCTCAACCCCCGCTTCCCCTCATCAGACTTTGGAAACGCCCCGCCATCATTCAGACATTAATTATTAAGGTTCACACAGTCGCGTTGACATTTGACGCAGCCGTAGCTTCTTCTGCAGGAGATGCAGCGACAGTTCAGTACATGTAGAGAAACACCACATATTAATGGTTTCCTTTTTAAATATTCCCTTGCTTTGTAATATTGATTTTATTTGAAGGAAAAACTAAGACTAAACTAAAAAATTTTCCTCTTTATAACAACTTATGTTTGTAAAAGAATAAAATGTTTTCCTGAAAGCTTAACATAAAATCTCTTCAGCCTCTCAACCAATTTTAAATGTATTTTTTAATTCAAATTTGAATGTTTATCTAGCTATGCACTTAAATATTCGTTTCTCAACTTAGAATACATATTGTAAATTTGCATGTGATTTCAAACGTTAAATATTGATAGCATATTCGAATTTAAATTGAAAAGCAATGATACGTTTGAATTTCATACATTTTAGAGTATTAAAATATGTGTCGATATTTTTTGTGAACACAATACTTTCTTTTTAAGCTTCCAATGATAGGATATTTTATCCAGCTAAAATCTTTCAGACAGCAGGTCTTCTCTTGTTAGCAAAATACTATTTGTTTAATCCGTCTATGACAAAATATATTTTCGAGCTGAAATCTCTAAGACTGCAAAAATGAGAAGCTTGCGGTCTTTGGAATCAATTTTGCCAGTGTCGAATACCTGCGACAGTTATCCACTTTGGGGCTGAGCTGGACTGCGCCTGCCATTAGCCTTGTGTGCAATTTTAATGACACGCAAATTGCAGTTGCCTGCGTTGCAGTGGCTTCAGCGTGGATTTTTACGCCGTTGCGCCACTTGCGCCCCATTTGACCGCATTACGATTGGACGCACGCGCTTCAACGCCATCTTACGTGTCAGAGCCTGAGAAATATTTAATGGCCGCCAGCCGTGCAGTCCTTTCACGTCCTTTCACGGCTACAGTGGACACCCCCGTTGTGGTACTCACGTGAGTGAAGTAGTAGTAGTGCACGGAGGCGCCTCGCTCCGCCAGAGCCTGGGCGTACTCGTTGGTGGGGCAGGTGAAGAAGTGATCGCCCACGGCGCGTCCGATTTGCTGCTGGTTCTGATAGCCCGGATTACCCTCCCAGCTGGTGTACTGAAAAGGAAGGGAAATATATATTTTTAATAATCCAGTTCATACGAAAGACAAGTCGGAAGCGTCCAAAAAATTAATTCAATTACAAATTTAAATGTTTAATATGCGTATTGGTCTTCAATAAATACTTTTAATGGTCCTTGAACTGTATTTTCCTTTTATGTATAATATGTAAAAAAGGCACGTTACTTTGACTTTAATTAATTTATTAATTAAGATTTTAAGGAATCAAATTCAAAAGTAACAAATAAAGAAACTAAAGAAGGCTTGAATGAAGATTGGCTTAAAATAAATATATAAAGTTATCGAAAGTGGTAAGATATGTAGCTGTTGGCCTTAAATAAATCCCCCAACCTGCAATTGAAAATAATTCGAAGTTATTCCCAGCGTCACGGGAAGTCCCCAGTCAATCATGAAATGAAGTTAGCTGTCAGTTTCAATTTCCGTTCGAATAGTTCAGGGGCTTCGGTTCGTTGAGAATCTCCTGGGCCAGCTAATCCCGGATTCTGTCCTGGATGTCAAATGCATATCCACTGCTGACGCAGAACGCCGCAAAATGAAATTTCCCGGCGACAGAACAGAGTAAATGAATAAAGCCACTAAATGCAATTCAATCAGCCAGCCGTCGCCGTTGACGTCCCATTTAACGTGTTTAGGACATGCAGCGAATCTGCAGCTGACATTGAATAGTCGCACGTTGCACTAATGTACTTTAAGGGATTTGGCCGATGCACTTGGAGCAATTTATAAATTTTTGAGTCCGGTTTTATAAGTTTTAATTGATTGTAACATGTGCAATGTATTTAATAAAAATGTAGTTCTCATCAGTCAAAATGTAAGGTATAAAATTGAATGATTTTCGTAAGTTAAACTTTTTAATGAAATAATTTTTCAGTGTACATGTCAGGTGCAGTCGCAAGTGCACCACATATGGTTTTTTCGGAAGAATGCAGATGCGTAGTGGAAAGTTACCTGGAAAATGATGGCCTCGCGTTCCGCCTGCGTTGCCTTGCCGAAAATGTTGTTCATAATTTCCAGATATTTGTCCCGTGGCAGGGCCGTGGCATCGTCCTTATCGAAGTAATCGATGAAATCGTACAGCAAGAAGTATGTGCCTGTCAAATAGGGAGGGAAAAATGGTTTAACCCGTGCCATTCGAGGTCATGTCATAACAATGCTGGGTGAGAAGTGACGCGAAGAGGGATGTTGGCCAATCTGGGAAAACAATTACCACTACAGGCGGCGCTTCAAGATGCCGACTTACAATGGAGGGGCCGTGCCAAGGACACCGCGCTCAGGATTAACCCCAAGTCCTTAGTCCCAGCAGCAACACCAACAGCAATAGCAGTCGCAGCAGCAACACCAACGGCAGCAACAGCAATCACAACAGTTTCAGAAGCCGAGGAGAAGTAAGTGAAAGAGTGCAAAATAGAATAAACCAAAAACTTGTGCCCCCTACAAAAACAGAAGACCGAAACACTGAAAATCTGGTTTTATAGAATGCAGATGCAGACTTAAGAATGGTACTCTGACTTTAACCTCGAAATACTAGCTTTACTTTAATTTAACATATTAATTTTCGATCGTGAATTTTTAATGCAAGCCATAAGAAATACCCTTATTATTATTTCATCAAAATAATAATTTTCAAACTAAAATGATTTGAGAATACAAAAACCAAAAAGGCTTTAAATCTTCAATAAAATTAAAAAAAAAAAAATTTGAACAAGCATAAAAAACTGTATTATAGCAAGCTAACCAGGTGTCCATTGCTATAACTTGTAACCTTTTAAGAATCCCAAGAAGGAGTTAGGAAGTAGGTGATTATTAGTATACAATGATTGTCCAATTGATGTTAATTCATCATCTGTGGACTAAGTGATTGGCAATAGTTAAGATCATATACGTTGGGAAAATATATTAAGGTAGTTTTTATGCACCAATGTATAAACAATAAACCCTTACATTCTTGTAATACAGGGTACAACAGGCAGGACGGGTGAACAAAGCGGCTCGTCGTTGCCTTTTATTAACTTAATTTTTATGGCACTTGTTGTTGGCCCAGTTGTTGTTCTCGGGCTTTTGTCTTTGTCGCACACTTCAAATACGGGCCACACTAACGAACCATAATTGCTGCCTATGAGCGACGACAGCAGCAACACAGCAGCAACACGACCACAACAGTAACAGCAGCAACAGCAGGAGCAGCAGTAGCACCAACACTTACAGCGGCAACATCAGGACATGTAGTCGAGTATCTGTGTTTGTGTTGGCCGAGGGCACGTGCAACCCATTCCCAATTTATCTTGCTGGCCCACTGTGTTTATGTTTGCTTCGATTCCATTAAGGTCAAAACCTTATGCAAAGCCTGGCACGAGGAGCTTTGACTTGAATTGCAAACAATCTTGAAAGAGCTGCCTGAAACTGTCGCTTACTAAAGTCGATAAGTGTTCCCCAGAAAAAGGGGAGAGTCAAGAAATACATTAACATTAAGGATTGGATCGTGTTACTTTTGCAAAAACCATTTAAACAGCTATAAAACTTAGAGGTCAGCCAAATGAAGTTATTCTCTAATTATAAATGTTTAGTTACATTTATGTTAATTTGTTATTCAAGACTTTCTTAATAACGAAACACAAATATTCAAACTCTTTGAATGTACTTTTATTGAAAGAGTAATGGGAAAAATATTGATTTATATACTTAATTCAAAAGTTTTGTAGAGGCATATAGTTTGCACAACTATGTTAATATTTTCCACTACATGGCAAAACGACCTTGCGTTATTCAACTATTACTGGATGTCGGGCATACGCTTTTAATTAAATTGCCAACAACACACTCACTCTGTGGCCACAAATTTCTCTGGTTTTTTTGAGGGAAATCACACTCCCTCACACACACATAAACGAAATGTAAATACGGTTTTAATGAGTGTATAATTGAGTTAGCAGCAACAACAAAAACACCGGCTGGAGGCGGAATTCAGGACTCAGGACTATAACTACGGAGCCGGCGATAAGTTGGCCGTCTCGGAACGCGAAGCAATTAACGAGCAAACAAGCTGTCTTACACACACACAAGCAAAGGAAGCACAACCACTCACACATACACACACCCAGGAACACATACATACTCAAGTCGAGAAGCATGCAATCGCGAGTCTGAAGGAACTGCCACCAAAAATGAATTATTTAAGCACCGAAAAGTTACCGCCTTGCCTTCATTGCACACTTTTTGGCTGCACTTCAGAAATCCTTAGCCCAAAGAAAACTCTTAACTTTTTCAAATTGCTTATAACAGTTCATTCAGTCCATATTTGAGTGTCATGCGAAAATGTAAATGCATTTGGTATTTGATTTAAATAAAATCATTAAAAATTAAATTATTGAAACTTTAAATTAACTGTTCTCTATCCTTTTGTTGGCAGTACTTTGACTATAGTACTGTATAGTGCTTGAAACGATCTTATAAACTATATTAATACAAATTTAATGAATTAAGTTATAATCTTTGATTTAGAAATTAAAATATGAATACCCAATGTATGAAAATTTTTAGTAAGTCTGATAAAAAAGAAACAGACATTAGCTTTGCCCAGAATGTCATTATATATTCAGTATATCATAGAAATGTATCATTCCAGGAATTTTATGTTTTTGCATTTTATACATTTGAAAATCCATTCCAAATGAATTATGAATACTAACAAATATCCCAAAAACCAAAGGCAGGCCAATTAGGTGAACTAGCCAGATAGTTTATTGAGTATAAACGTTAAGTGCGCACGTACAAATGTAAATAAATATAAATATATGTTTATATAATATGTAGGTAGGGACGAAGGGCGTTTGAATTTGTCAAAAACAAACAGAAAAGGATGCTTTTATGTGCGCGGCTCATCGTAATGTATTTGAATTTGTATTCGTATTGTTGCAAATGCTAGATGACCTTGAACTCACAAATACAAACACAGACACACAAACACGCAAACACACACGCACACTCGCTCAGCTGAGTAACGGTACTTTTGTACCCATGGAAAATGGTGGCAGTTGCCTGGCGGCCATGCACGCACACCTTTTTGGCCAAGAGAAAATAGAAAAGAGAACGGAGAGCGAACTGGAGAGAGTCAGGAGCTGAGAGAAAGCGGTAAGCAGCAGCTGTGAGCAATGAGTGAAAGTGAGCAGAAAAGCACACGTGTCTGCTGGCTTATTCTGCTCCTGGCAAGACAGCCGCAACAACAGCAACTAGCAATGCCAACACCAGCAACAGCAACAGCAACAGCAATAGAAACAGAAACGGCAACGGCAGCAACATCCATCGCCCAACAGCAACAAGAAAATCGAAAGGAAAGAAGGGACAGCCAAAGCCAAAGCCAAAGCACGAACTGGCACAAAAGCCCTGAGAATCTTCTTCTTTAATCTGTTATACGAAAAACACAACCCACGAAAAGGACCACCCACCCAAAACACCCAACGACATCCTGCGGTGGCGGCTCGCGAAATAATAAGAAAAGGAAAACGCAAACGGAAAATTTGTTACAAGTGCGCCACTTACACGGCCTGGCACGGAAAAGCTGGCAAACACAATGCACACAAAGGGTTACGCACCAGATTGAGAAGAATAACAGCCAGTGGAAGGATATGAAAAATGAGGGGAAAATTATGGGAGAATCAACAGCAGCATTTCGCAGAAGGGAAAATTCCCATCAAGCCAAAATGCGATTTGTCTAATGCGAATTAGAATTTAAAATTTAATTGTGAGAGCTAGAAAGCTTGATAAGTTTTCTATTTTACTAGTTTCTGTTTGTGGAAAATATGTTTAAATATAAAATTAAATATAATGAACAACAAAATCGACCACTATATTTTCAATAAGTTAATTTGTTTACTTACCAAATAAACAAGATTACGAAAAAAAAACATATGAAGCTAAACTAAAAAAACCTCCTCTTCTTTCATCTTATTTTATTTTTTTTTGTACCAAGTTTTTGGTTTATTTAAAACTCTTTAATTTAATTATAAGGCAGACCTGGCTAAAAACATAACGCTAAACTAATTACTCGTATTCTAATTGAACAAAGCATTAGCCGTTATTTAAAACAAACAATAAAACCAAAAATAATAGTCAAAACAACTAAGAGCTTTTTATTTGTAAAGCAATTAGGAAAACAGAACTCCGCATTATCAAAACTATGTAAATATATTTCTCGTTGCAATGTTCTCCTCATTTAAATACAAACCATATGTATGTGCAAATACCTACGGAAAGGTGAATTATATTTAATCAACAGATTTCAACCTGCTGCTGTTATTTTTTTATGATTTATATTGATTATTTTCATTGCAAACATTTTGGTTTTTGCTATTGATTTAATATAATACAATTCAGTGAGGTCTAATAAATTTTGTGGCTAAACGATATTTATCAAATCTAAAAGATTTCAATCGTGTTACAATTTATGGGGAATTTCTATGATGAATTATGGCCTGGGTAATAAAAAATAATTACAACGGAACTTTAACTCAACTTTGAGCGGTAATAGTTTGCAGTCCCCTATTTAATAAAAACCGCCCCTCCAGCCACCACCCCCTCTAACCATTCGATTTTGCTGCGGCACGTGTGGCACTCACGCGTCCCGTTCCGCCCATCAAGTTGAGGGCTCGCTTTTTGCTTTCGTTTTTCCACCCCCCTCTCACTACCCACCGCCCCCCGCTGTCACCTGAGCGAAATATATTTAAATAATTTATGATGCCGTCCCGCACAGCTGAGCGCCATATCTGAGTGCGTGTGTGTGTAGGTGTGTGTGTGTGGGTACGGAAGTTTTTCCTTTTTTCCCGGGGTCACCGCAATTTGCGTGGGCGAGTCTGGCAAGGTTTGGCGGCTTTTTGTGTTTTTCTGTATTTTGACTCCGGCAATTCCGGTGCGTTGACACATGCCTCGCACTCGGATTTTTAAGCAAGCATTTGCTTTGTGAAGCTGGGAAAAAACCATAGACAACAAAGCAAAGTCCAGAGACGCTTTTTTTGCAAGCTGATAAAGAGCTTATACAAATATTTAAAATACTAAAACTTCTAAACATTTTTCAGCTCTTTGTTGGTTGGAATTTTACAAAATTTAAAATCATTCTTAATTAAATGTAATAAAATGGACTCTTATTTTGAATAAATATATGCTTTTAAGAATTAAAATTACTAATAAATAAAAAAGTTTTCCCCTATCTCAACTGGCATTCCACTTACACTTGCGGCATTCGAAATTTAAAGTTTACAAAATACGTAATTTGTGTGTGCAGCTAAGAGGGTAAAAAACAAAAGGCAAAGCCGGAAAAGCCAACAATACAGGACATTAAACAAAGTGCAGTTTTGCGACAGCCAAGCCAGAACTAAGCCGAGCACAATGTAACCCGCAGAACCACTGGAACTACCACTGCCACTACCACTACCAGCCCCCAAAACCCACTAAACCCCTCGATTCGCCGCTCAGTGTCATGCAATAAACCATAAAAATTAAGCACTCGAGCCAACCGAAAGTACCGAATGCATTACGAGTGCTCGAAATGTGCAGAGGAAATTTTTGAAAAGCAGCGAGGCTAAGCCACCTTCCCATTACCCATGAAACGACAAGAATAAAATGCATTTTGTCTGCCATCCAGGCCACAACAAAAAGTGTATATAAATATATGTATAGTTGCAGAAAAGTAATAAAATCTGAAATGGATGTAGAGCTGCTAGCTGCAGCGCAAATGTTTTTAGGGCACGGAGGAAGGAAGCTGGGCTAAAAAGCTTGGCAAACAACATTGGCAATGGGTAGTACTTTGTTTTGGATAAAGTTTAGCGCTGACGTCAGCCGCAGAGGATGCAACAATGGAGGCAAGGACGACCCAGAAAAGGGGAGATAGGATGGTCGTGATGAAGTCACTGGCGGGAGGAAATTTCAGCGGGTCCTCAGGCAAGCACACTCACCCTCATCCCTGACATTTCCCATCAGGATGTCGTAGTCCTTCAGATCCGCCGTCTTCATTAGCGTCATGGGATCCGCCGGCAGGAAGGCTCCGTCGATGGTGGGTGCCGATGGGAAGCTGAGGATGCCGGAGTAGGAGTTCCACTGCTGCACCGATATGGTCTTGGCGTCCACCGACCGCATGCAGCTCATCACGTGAGCGGGATTGGTCTGGAATCGGAAGACAAATTAATCACTCAAATCCTGTTTATAAATTCGTTTAATGAAGGGCCAAACATATTTAAGCTCAAAACATTAAGGGGGGGTATAGTATTAAATTTTTTTTTTCTGAATGCACAACATCTTGAGAACATTGTGTTAAAGTTTTAGATCGATCCGAGTAAAGCTTCACAACTTATGGGCAGTCTAACGTAGGTAAGTTAGCTCGTTTTGTATGGGTGTCCAAAACTTTAAAACGCTCTCCTGAAAAGTTACCCTTTTCAAAGTCGGTGTACACGATCCTGCAAAATCTATCCGACGGATCGTTTTGAAATTTTGCACAGTTGTTCACAACTAAATTCCTCGAGTAACGCTGTCGATTTTTTTTTTTTAAATTTATTATTTTTAGAGCAACAAATATCTCGACGTTTTAGGCAAAAATGGGTGTTTTTGACTTTCAAGTGCCTTAAAAAATCGAAAAAAAATAAAAAAAATAAAAAATAAAGACATCGTTACCTGAGGAATCTTGTTCTTTAACTAATGCATTTGAATTTTTTTATTTCGGATGATTTTGTGAGCGGTTATCGTGTGCACCGCAAAACATCTTTTTTTCGAGGCGCCGCCGGAGATTGCCTGTATCTCAGTCAATTTTTAATATTTTTGGAAAAAAAAATCACACATATTGTTTAAATGTTGCCCAATCACATGCAAAAAACAAGAAAGGAAAGCTAACTTCGGGCGGAGCCGAAGTTGATATACCCTTGCAGAATACTCTGTAAATTATATTCTCCAAAATTATTCATATGATGCATTTTTAATACTCATAAAAAATCCCAACTTCCTAACTTTAAAAACACCAAAGTTATGACATTTCCAATCGTTCAGTTATATGGCAGCTATAGGATATAATCGGCCGATCCTTATGAAATTTGGTAGGTCGGATTGGCTGGCCAAATATAACACCCATAGAAAATGCCGACTTCCTAACTTTACAAACACCAAAGTTATGGCATTTCCGATCAATCAGTTATATGGCAGCTATAGGATATAGTCGGCCGATCCTTATGAAATTTGGTAGGTCGGATTGGCTGGCCAAATATAACACCCATAGAAAATGCCGACTTCCTAACTTTACAAACACCAAAGTTATGGCATTTCCGATCAATCAGTTATATGGCAGCTATAGGATATAGTCGGCCGATCCTTATGAAATTCGGCATGTCGGATTGATTAGCCAAATATAAAACCCATAGAAAATCCCAACATTCTAACTTTACAAACACCAAAGTTATGGCATTTCCGATCAATCAGTTATATGGAAGCTATAGGATATAGTCGGCCGATCCTTATGAAATTCGGCATGTCGGATTGATTAGCCAAATACAAAACCCATAGAAAATCCCAACTTCCTAACTTTACAAACACCAAAGTTATGGCATTTCCGATCGTTCAGTTATATGGCAGCTATAGGATATAGTCGGCCGATCCCGGCCGTTCCGACTTATATACTGCGTGCAAAGGAAAGAAGGGTGTGTGCAAAGTTTCAATTCGATATCTTTAAAACTGAGAGACTAGTTCGCGTAGAAACAGACAGACGGACAGACAGACGGACAGACGGACAGACGGACAGACGGACAGACGGACATGGCTATATCAACTCAGGAGGTGATCCAGATCAAGAATATATATACTTTATAGGGTCGGAGATGTCTCCTTCACTGCGTTGCACACTTTTGACCAAAATTATAATACCCTCTGCAAGGGTATAAAAAAACAAAATTGGGCTGAGACTATCCGTATCGCCAATAAATTTTTTTTAAAAATGCTGGATTTTTCACCGAATTAACTATCTTAAACATACTTAAAACAAGAGAGAACGCTATAGTCGGGTGCCCCGACTATCAGATACCCGTTACTCAGGTAAAGGGAGTGCGAGGGAGATGGAGATAGAAACTTTGATCACGCATAACTTTTTAACGAATGGTCCGATTTGAAAAATTTCGATAGGTATTGATAAACACAATAAAACTGCATTTTTACTTTTCCGAAATATTTAAATTTTTAAAATCGTATATAGGCGATTGTGGGCGTTAAAGGGGGCGTGGCACCATTTTGAAACAAACTTGCGCTGCGTAGGAACTCCTAGAATCTGCTTGCAAAATGCCAATCTTCTAGCTTTTATAGTTTCCGAGATCTCAGCGTTCATACGGACAGACAGACGGACAGACGGACAGACGGACAGACAGACGGACAGACAGACGGACAGACGGACATGGCTAGATCGACTCGGCTAGTGATCCTGAACAAGAATATATATACTTTATAGGGTCGGAAACGCTTCCTTCTAGCTGTTACATACTTTTGCACGAATACAATATACCCTTTTACTCTACGAGTAACGGGTATAAATATGTTCTTGTTTTTGTAACCTCTATACCAAGAGGTTAACTGATATTATAGATTCAAAATGCAAAGCCAAAGACAAGGAGAATCCTTTTAAGCAACATTAATGTATATATTTTTCCATCTTAAACATACTTAAAAATATTCCCCTTTCCATCAGTGAACTCACCTTCAGCATGGAGGCGTTGCAGTTGCAGTCGTTGATCAGCGCCTTGCCAATCTCCACGGCCTTCTCGGAAGTCATGTGGCTCCAGGGGGCGTTCATGGTGCCCGACTGCATCATGCCCCTCTTGACCAGGCCCCTGGTCACCGGCGACATGAGCTGCGCGTTCACCGAACTGGAGCCCGCCGACTCCCCGAACAGGGTCATCCACTCCGGATTTCCGCCGAACGCATGTGCGTTGTCCTTCAGCCAGCGAATGGCCAGAGCCTGATCCCAGAGGCCCACGTTTCCGGGCGCCTCCTCCGCGAAATCCGACGGCATCTCCGGCGCCAAGTGCAGGAATCCGAAGGCACCCACTCGATACTGGAAGGAGGCCACTATCACATTGCCCACGGCGGCCATGATGTCCGCATTGTAGATGTCCAGGGTGGCCGATCCGGTCATGAAGCCACCGCCGTAGATCCAGATCAGAATGGGCAGGCCGTTGGTCGTGTTCTGCGGATTACCGTTGTGGATCAGGTGGTCCGTGTCCGCCTGTTTGCCATTGGAGTGCTACGGAAACAGACGTGAAAAGGTTATATAATATACCTGATTCCTTATAAATCCCACATTGACTTAATATTGGGTCAGACAAAAATGCACCAGAGAGCATTATATTATTATAAGCAGATTGAAGTAGAAACTTAAATTTGTAAGGTGCCAAATGACTCTATCTAAAATGTTTTCTTGAAGCTTCTTATAAAAAGTCAATTATTAACTTATCAGTCAAATAAATCCCACTTAACAAATTTTTTGAATCTATGTTTTTCTTTAAAAGTTGGTACCAAAAATATATGATATCAAAAGATTGTTCAATTGTATGTGTTATTGTTTTTGTTAACTTTTTTTTCAAATAAAGATAAATTAATTTTTGTTAAATTCTGTTTAACGAAATTTTATTTTAATCATCTAAATATATTTTTTGTTTAATATATTTGCAAAAAATTTGATCTATTAAATGGTTAATTTACAATCCAATTTTTACTGTTAAAGCTTTGGATACCAAAAAATACAATTTAAAAAAAAATATATTTTTTTTTTAAAGCACAAGTGCCTACACTTACCTCGCCCCCGTTGGCACCCCGCCCATGGCGGAGACGGGCCTTTGCCGGTGCCCAGACGTTTATGTAGAGGCAGTCCTCGGACACGTTGGTATTGGGGTTCCAGATCTCCTCGCCGGAGAAGCCCGGGAAGTACTCGTAACTGGGTTCCGGAAAGGAAAAGAGAAGAGAAGAGAGTTCTTGATTAGCTAGTGACCCATATGCAAATCAAAGGCCGTTTGTCCCCCATCTGGAATTCGGTCATGCCAATTACGATATACTAACCGGCTGTGTTATTTATTTTTATTCGGTCTCTCTTCCGTTTTGCTAGCACTGCTCTTACCCTGAGCTTCCCCACAAGCACTGGCACACACACCTCGTACTCCCCCACAATTTGACATAGTTTTTCCGCTTTATAAATGTTGAATCGCTCGAATCGATATCCCTACGCATTCGTACAAAGCTCAGCATTTGTCTGCCCGTCTCTATAGATACCTTTATACATTTTGATATGCTTGTGTATGCTTAGGTGTGTTTGGCTTCGTGTCCATTAAAATTAACTTTGCCGTTTCGCATAAAAGTAATTTATCACAGACGAAGAGAAGAGGCGATTTCTGTTTCCTACGCCAGCTGCCATTCGCCTTTATCACTATATTTTTCTAATTTCCTTTTGCCTCACACACTTTGATGACTTTCCCTTTGGGGTGCGGAAAAACTTTGGTTCTCTATTTCAAGAGCAAAAGTAAATCAAACCAAATGAGTTTGATTAAATAAATGGAGAAGGAAACAGGTACAATTTTTTGGTGGTGGCTATTTAATAAAT